TCTCATCTACAGATTTCTTTTTTTTTCTTTTCCTTCCAAACGATCATCGAGTTAACAATTGTACCGAAGATTTCGATGCGTCTCGAATTCGAATTCTATCGGGATTTAACAATAGCTACTCATCCAGCGCCAGCCAGAAAGTCGCGAAAAGCTCGTTCCAAAAGGACGTGCGATCTTGATGAGTTTCACGAGGGCTCGCCGAATATACAATTCGGTATAAAGCCGATGAAGCTTTCGGTAATGAAAAACCGATTGCGACCAAATAGGCTCTGGGCTGCCGGTGACGTGTAATCGAGTCTTCTCTTTCGTCCCTTCACCATCCCACCGTCCATCTCCGTTCTATCCACCCCCTCGTTGCTCTCTTTCTCCGTTCCCTCGTTTTTCCACAGCCGCCACCCTGTGAGCTTCCATTAACCACCATACGTCATATATACCGAGCGGAGGGAACCATTTTGTCCTGGTTTCTGGTGACCTCTTATTTGAAAACGGTATTCAAATTACCATGGACTATCTTCACATTCTGTCCCTTGAGCTTTTGTCACTGAACGGATAGATGAACGTTTCGTGTCTTTGATGTCGCGGAAAAGTTCGGTTTCCGCGACAACGACGAGTTTCATGAAATTTTATTCGTTTCACCACGTAGCCGAGCTTGTAACATTTGAATTTAATTTATATATTCTTGCCTATTGCGTACATTCTGCGTGTTTGTGTAATTTTCTATAAATTTCGTTTCTTTTATTTTTGTTATACTCTGTCTGTCCTTGTTTATTTCACTTGTCTTCGTAGACTTAACTTCTGGTCAGGCTGTTGTTTCTTACGAGGCAGATACAACTCTACTGTCTCGATCCTCCCCTCCAATAAGACAATTAGCTCGGGTACGAAAGGCGAAACAAGATAAAACAGGGGAGGAAAAATGGACGTCCGCTACGAAGCTTTGCTTCGTGTGTGCGGCGGGATAAGAAGGTATTGCCCATTATAATGCAACGTGCTCGTCTGCAATCAGACTGGTACAGGCCTCTAACTAGCTACGGGTTCGACGAGAGCGAAAGATACGAACGTATCGTAAAATGAATCAACGTGTGCGATTAATATTCTTTTCATTCCCTGTCGAAACAATCATTCGTAATTCTTGTACTATTTGTGAAACTTCGACAAAAAAAAAAAAAA